TCTTTCTTCTTCTTTTTCTCCTTCAGTCAGCTATTAGAAACAGTTAGCATTTATTGCCTGTGAAAGCCAAAACCCTTCTCTTTAGTTTAGCTTTGTCTAGACCCTTCTAGTATATATCTATATAAACCAGATTCTTTTTATAGCTATAACATAGACTCAAAAATTGATTCCTTTGTGGGCATAAATTCCTATCCTGATTGGTTAAAATGTCAATATAAAGTATCTAATTAAACCACACCTGTTTGCAAACTTTATTTTGGTGTGTTTTGAAACCATCAGACTTAGGCCTTATCTTTTACAATTTTTGAAAACCAAATTTTGTTCATGTATCTTCATTTTTTATAAACTGTCAGACTTCCTTTTGGCATTTTTTACAACATCATACTTGAGTTTCACATATACAAACCTTTACACATCAAGTTTTATTCAAGCCATTTTTATAAAGTGTCTAGCTTTCTTTTTATAATAATTCTTTTTTTATATGAATTTTTTATACCTTGTCTTTTACACTTCTTTTTTATTTCTCTTTTTCATCTTCCTTTCCCAATTTTCCCTTTTTATTCTCCTTCTACTGATATATTTTCTCCATGGTGTCATTGTCTCCCTCATTCCATTCTACTTCTTTTTTTTCCTTTTTGTCTTTTAATTCTCTTCATCTCTCTCACTATCTGTGTCAGCCTCCATGTTGTCTACCATTTTATAAATGCATTCCATTAACAAATCCCTGTGGGTCCAAATCTATATCTACCAAGTGTTGGCTTTTTGGGGAGACATACAAAAATGAACCAAACAAAAAAAAAAAAAAAAAAAAAAGAAGAAAAAAATATAAGATTAAGTCCAAACAACTCAACCACGAGACATCAGGATTGGATGTAAATAACGAGATAAAATGGCTACATTTAACAAGGAATTGAGAGTGTTTAGTTGAGTTTAGAAATTAGAGCTAAATCTGGCTAATGTTTTTGTCTTGTTGAAAGCAATGTGGCACCATAATTTATTTTCATCTCTTGCAGAGCAAACCCTGACTGTACATGTGGGTCTTGCCTCTTAAATTTTCAGAGTGATTGCAACAAGACATTTATGTTTAATCTACAGTTATCTGGTAAACAAAAATTTCGGTGGTTGTAGAATTTATTTTAAAAAAATGGCTTGGATGTCAAAAATATGAAAAAAGACTTAACTATAACAAATAAATAAAATAAATATTGCAAAAATATGGTAACAAAATAAAGCAATGTATAATAATGTTGGAATGATTCTCTTACCCCCATCAGCATATCCTTTGAGTCATTTCACCTTAAGCAAGGCAATAAATTCACTAAGATACAAGGGATTACTATGTGTTAGAGAATATAAAAAATACTATTAAGGAGAGAGAATGATAAAAGAAGAAGAATTAAGAAGACAGAAAATAACGATTGACATTGCACTTAAATTTTTGAAGATCAAATTTGACTGGGAAACAAAAAGCCAGAAGAGAGTTCCACAGTAGAAGGAACTTACAGTTACATCTAGCCATTTCAAATGTAAAATGATGAGACCTTTCTGCCAATCTCATACTGTTTTTAAATTCATAGAGTCTAGGTACCATAGAGGAAAGTTCATCAGAACAATTACCATGAAAATATTTATAGAAAAGGCACAGGGAAGCTACATTGTGGTTTGGAAACTGACTGAAGGTGGGATGCCAGGTCAGGGCCAATAACATTTCAAATTCTTCTTCCAGTAAAGGCAGAGACATTTCAGCTACGTGTTATATTTACCTTCTTTTATATTAGTTTATGAACTCTGCCATCATTTCAATTTATATTTAATGGAAAGCATGAAATTTAAGAATTTATATACTCTATAATACTTACAAATAAATGAAGAATAACATTTTTTTATAAATAAAGAAATGACACACATTTTGTATGTTTTTAGTAACAAGTTTGTGATTTATCCTCAGCCATTTTGTTTTTTGCACAACAAAATGACTTGAGTTGAACAGTTCAGATCAACTTTGTATTCTATTTTTGAGATGAGGAATTGTCAATATAATTTGATTTATTCTAACTATTACAGTTCAAATAATTTAAAGTATTTTGAAATTCCTCATCTCAAAAATGTAATACAAAATGATGAAAAGTGGTACACACCAACATGATGACCAAATATCAAACCTGTCTAACACTAGATTTAAAAGTTTCCAAAAAACATACCATTGATGTCCTTTGGGTTGGTGGTGTAAAGATATAGGCTTTACTTAAAACATGTATTGCTACTATCTAGTGGTCATGAGTTCTATCCCTAAATCAAGAATGAACAAGACTTGGCATCACAAAGACAAATGCAATCACTGGGCCAAAAAAAATTTCAGTTGGCTATGTTTTTCCAAATGATTTAGGACAATTTTTCACTGCTGAATCAAAAAATGACACCTGTTTCTCTTGATGAGGTCATATTTTGTGCTTACTTGAGTTTTTAGAAATCCGATCTTCTGACTAAATCGATTACATTTTTGTGACATTATTATTATATTTATCAATTAAATGTTGCAAACATTGATTACAATAAATTGAATAGTATACATTGATAAATGTAAGTACATGTAAATTGCATGTTATGTCATCATTGTTCCAAATTCGGGGCTTGAAATTCCGTTTATTAATTTGAACTCTTAGAATGATCAGCAGCAGGGGTGTCTCTCTTCAAAATCCAGTAGTAATCAACCATCATGACTGGATCCCAATGTTCCTGATACCTGATATCCATCTCTTTTATGTCCTGATGAATCTCTCCCCCTGTTCATCGCTCATTGATCCCAGATTCTCAGGAAACCAATCTATACATGAGAATAAATAATGAATTTTGATGCTCATGTTGCATGTGAGGTTTCTGAAAGCAGTCAGCATATTAATGGCAAGTTCTGTGTAGTTAATGGCCTTGTTGTTACCAAGAAAGTTATTTAAGTCCAAAACAAAAGCCTTCCATGCTTTCAATTCCACTTTGTTTTTCAAATGATGGATCTCTGATGAGCTGACAGATTTGAGGATCATCAAAGATGCCAACTTTCAACTTCTCCATCATCAATCCTGGAAAAGCTTGGCACAAGTAGGTGAAGCAGCCATCATCCTTATCTAGAGCTTTGGTGAACTTTGATCAAGCCAAGCTTGATGTGCAACAGTGGGAAAAGTATCCTGTCTCTGTCCACCAGAGGCTTATTGATTATGTTCAGTGCTCTGCAGTTCCTCCCGAACAATCTTTCTCTTTTTCATGAAATGCTTACTATCCTACATGTACAGAAAGCATGGGTACTTAGTGAACCCAAACTGTTGTCTCATCAAAAAATTCACCATCTTCAGGTCATCACAAATAAACCACTCATGCTGATCATAATGAATTTTCTCCAGCACATACTTCACTGCTTCATATTTCTTCTTTAGTGTAGATGAGTAAGCGAGGGGTACAGAGGCAAACTGGTTGCCACTGTGCAGCAGAACACTTTTCACTGATCATTTGCTGTTGTCAATGAACTGTCTCCAATCTTTAGGTTTGTACTCTGGCACTCCGATTTTGTGCAGAAGCTGTGTAATATCTGTATAGTACACCAAGTCCTTCTCTTCAGAGAAAAAATGGAGGTACTCTTGATGCCTGTTGCAGTAGAAGGTGATGCAAGCACTGTCAGAAAGGAGGTTTTTTTCCTTTAATCTGGATGCCAACAGTTTAGCAGAGGACTTTCACAAGCTGAGATCATGAACTGGATCATTTAGTTCCATTTGGGATAAAGGATCATCGTCAAAAACCACTTCTTCATTTTCTTGAACCCTGGAGAAATCTTCTCCACTAATGTCAAGAAGTTCTCCATAGACAGGTATTGGAATTTCATCACAATGAGCTACTAAATGATGTGCTGATTGAAGATTAGAATACTTGAGGCTGTTCTGGTTCTTTCTGTTGATCCTAGTCATATCAATAGCACAGAAGTATTAGTCAGTGCTATGGTTTATTGGTTCCTTCCAAATCATGGGAATTCCAAACTTCAGACAATTTTTCTTGCCCTTGGTCCACCAATGCAGATACTTGGTATATGTCTTACATGTGTAGTACCCAAGCTATATCCTCTTCACCAAAATTGCATCATATAAGGCAAAAATACCTGTACATGTTGTAGGAATCCTTTTACAAAAGTTTTAGTTAAACGTTAAAAAGCAGAGTGTTGAGATTCAATACAATTATATAAAATGTTGTGGGACAGCTCATAATCTGGCCTTTTAAAACAATCCCACAACATTTATTTAAAGAATAAAATCATGTATAAAAACACAATGTAATATTAGGGAATAACATTCCTGAGAAATTGGCTCTTGAATTATATAATTTTATTTATTCCTAATTGGCCTTAAAAAGTCATGTATTATGCTTACTACTATGTTCACGCGATATTTTAGTGGTATCTACCGAAATCATGATGACTAATAAAACAACGTTTCTGTTTTGTATTCTATGGTTTTGTATTGTACGGTTTAATTGGTGTGTTTTAATATGTAAGCACTTTATTATGTGTTATGGGTTTATAAATATTTTGGAGGGGTGTTTTATTATTTATGTATCTATTTTTAGCCAAAAATACTTCCGATGGGTTAAAATTAATAAGTTTATAATTAACGTAATAATTAGTTTTATTGTGTGAAATATTTTTCATATTTAGATATTTTAATGAATATGACAATGTAAACAAAAACATAAAAAAAACAGCATGTGGTCATAGCCCAAAAAGTTGACCTGATTGAGCAAAGCCAATGTCATTTTTGGATTCAGCACATCAAAATTGTCCTAAATTAGCTGAAAAAAAAATAGACTATAAATTTGGTGTTGAGCAGTGATCAACAGATATCCCATATCAATAAAAAAAAATGTACACCTGAAGATAGCTAGATGATACTTGGCTTGGTTTATCTTTAATAAAAGCTATAATAACCAAGATGAGTACAATAATTCAGCTTATGGCTACATCATATCAAAACACCAATTCCCATATCACTGAAGTTAAGCAACATTGTACCTCATCAGTATCTAGATGGGTGACCACTTGGGAATACCAGGTGCTGTAAGATTGGATATGTAGGTGGTGTTATCGATAATGGCTTGGAATTGTTAATTGGAGAACTAAATTACAATTCTTGTTGGGGTTGTTAATATTTACTTATGGACAAATACCCTTGGGAAAGGTATGAATCCATGTCCAAGTATGCCTACCTACTAGGGTGGTTAGCCAAAAGAGTTAATTAGTAAGACTTGTATCACTAAAACAATTATTATCTACCCCCACCCCCAAAAAATTGCATACAAAATATTTAGATTTCAGTATTAAATAACCAATAGAGTTTGATGATATGCCAATAAACAAAAACGACATATTATAATATTATTATAATAAGATATTTACTCCTTGTAACTTGAAAGATGAAGGCAGGGATTATGGCAGCATTCATCAACTTAAACAAGGAGACTCTCCAGAAGAGTTGCAGGAGATACCAAAGTTGTCTGGAGGCTGTGGTTGAAGCCAATGGTGATTTTATTGAATAAATCTTCTCTTATGCATTATTTATATATTTATTAATATTATTATTGGGTTAGTTCATTATTAGTAAGAAGGGGATTGATGTTTTTTATTAGAGGATTAGTTATTAACATATTAAACATATTTAATAACTAATCCTCCAATAAAAAACATCAATCCCCTCCTTACCAATAATAAACTAATCCAATAATATCATCTAATATTATCTATAAAACTAAAACAATCAAGAACATATCACCAAATAAAAATAAATGACATGATGATGGTTGAGGACAACTGAAAGTGGCTTGGCAGAAAGCTATCAACTGGGAGCCTACTTTAACAATCTGGAGCCAAACATTAAGAAACTTGCGATGAAGCAAGACACAAATGAGAAAAATATTGTCAAGCGAAAAGAGTTCCGTCATCTTTAGTAAGACATACCTTAATATGTATATATATATATATATATATATATATATATATATACACACACACATATATATAGTTATGTATTTGGGTAGCAATCCTTATCTCTTACATATTTCATTAAAAATGACTAAGTTATTGTAATTTTATTGTATATGAGCAAAACAATTTTTAATTTAGTGAGTATAGAAATTGTGTGTGTGTGTATATATATATATATATATATATATATATATATATATATATATATATATATGTCACCTTGAGTGAGTTGAAATGTATTTCATCAAACATTTGAAACAATTGATTCCATTAAACATGAGAATAGTGGAATTAAAAAACAGTTGTGTAACAACACACAGGACAGTCCTTAAAAATGAATGGAGTATTATTTGAAAGTACTTGGGGAAAAATATCTATATAATAAATGTGAAAATGTCTGTGTATGTCACGCTTTTTCAATCAAAAGGATACAATTCTCAACTTTGAAATATCTCATTCCCTCCTCTTATATGATAAATGTGAAAATGTCTGTGTGTGTCACAGGATTGGATATCACTATTATAAATGAATAGACTTGGAGGAAAATGGGTAAACCCAGTTTATTAACTTCAGATAATGTTGCTTATGGGGTCTCCAAAAAGAGATTAAACTTTTTGGGTAAATTCAGCTGTAACATTTCTTTTGTTGGAAAAACCAGAAGAGTGGTAGTATTTGTGTTAAAAAATACTGTTAATTTGTTTGGTACAGATTGGATTGCATTGTTTTATCTGTGGGACCTCCCAATTAACTCTTTTTGCAATAAGATAAATATTGTTGCCAGTACTAATATAGCAACTGAAAAATTGAAAAGTGAAGTGAAAAATAGCTTTTCAGAAGTTTTCTCTGAAGGTCTAGGGACATGCACAAAAGCAGAAGCTAAGTTTTAGTTGAAAGACAATGTGACACTTACGTTTAAGCCAAAAAGGAGTGTACCTTTTGTGGCTTTAGATCCAATCAACAATGAATTGGACAGGCTAGAGAAATTAGGAGTAATATCAAGAATAGACTATTCTGAATTGGCATCACCAACAGTCTACGTTAAAAAATAGAATAATAAAATCCATATGTGTGCTGATTTTTTGACGGGATTAAATGAAAGTTTAAAATCACGTAACTACCTGTTACCAATTCCAGAGGAAATTTTTGCCAAATTGAATGGAGGTAAATTTTTCTCTAAACTGGACCTCTCAGGCGCATACTTACATGTACTTGTGGATGAAGACTGTTCAAAGTAATTAACTATTAACACTCATAGAGGGTTATATAAATTCAACCATCTTCCTTTCGGTGTAAAAGTAGCACCAAGCATATTCCAGTAGATAATGGATACAATCCTTGCTGGGTTGGATTGTGCTCAAGCATATTTGGACGACATACTTATTAAATGCAAGACCCCAAAAGAACATGCTGAACATCCAAAGAAAGTCTTTGAGAGAATCAAAGAATATGGCTTTAAAATAAGTGAAGAAAAATGTGAATTATTTATGTCCAGACTCAAATATCTAGGGAGGTTATTGATTAGAACGGTAGATGACTGGATCATTCAAGGGCAAGAGTGATAAAAGATATGCCCACTCCAACTAATATAACAAAATTACAAGCATTCTTAAGGTTTGCAAACTATTATCATACATATATACCTAATATGCATGAGTTGAGAGCACCAGTGAGTAACCTGCTGAAGAAAGATATGAAGTGGAATTGGACAGAAAAATGTCAAAGTGCATTTGATGAAATCAAGAAAGTATGATCATTGGATTTGTCACTAGCTCATTTTGACCCTAAAATAAAGATTGTAGTTACATCAGATGCAAGTAATTCAGGTATTGGAGCAGTGATACTACACAAATATGATGATGGAACAACGAAACTAATAGCACATACTTCAAGATTGTTAATTGTGGCTGAAAGAAGCTAGAGCGAAATAGATAAGGAGCATTGGCCATCATATTTTCTATGAAAAACTTCCACAAATTCGTACATGGTAGAGAATTTATTCTACAAACACTCCATCGTCCATTGTTGTCCATATACGGTTCAGAAAAGGGTGTTCCCACACATACAGCAAATAGACTGCAGTGCTGGGGTACTATCCTATTAAATTACAATTACAAAATGGAATTTCTACCATCTAAGAAATTAAGTCATGCAGACGGATTGTCTCGACTAATAACAAGATTCTGTGAACCACTTGAAGCTGAAAATGAAATTAATAGCTTATTGTATAATACCATATGAGAGCTTCCCATTACATTAGAGGAAATAAAAATTAAGGCAGTTAAAGACCACTTCATAATGAAAATGAAGGAGAAATTATGATCTAAAGAGAAAAATACTATAGAAAATAGTGCATTTTTGTTATGCAATGGTGTACTGATCTATACTGAAAGAGTGGTTATACCAGCATTGTTACAAAGACGTATGTTAAAAGAATTTCATAGAGGACATCCAGGGATTTCTAGGATGAAATCCTTAATGAGATTTTATACCTACTGGCAAAACATTGATAAGGATATAGAAAATTTGGTGAAATTATACAGAGGTTGTTCTCTGACCGCAAAGTCACTGCCTATCAAAGTTCAACCTTGGCCAATAACTGATATGACATGGTCTAGAATACATATTGACTTTGCAGGACCAATAAACAGAGCTTACTATTTAGTAGTAGTCGATAGTTATACTAAATGGTCAGAAGTACTAAAATGCAGGAGACTGACTACCACAGTAACTATAAATTTCTTACATGAAATTTTTTGTGATGTTTGGCGTTCCTGACTCTATCTTGTCAGATAATGCGACACAATTCACATCTAGTGAATTCAAGTTCTTTTGCAAATCATTAGCAATTGAACATATCACAACTCCCCCTTATCACCCTAGATCAAACTGACAAGCAGAACGGTTTATCGACACGTTTAAAAAGGCACTAAGAAAATTGGAGAGAGAGGAGTCAAATGAGGTAATGAATCAACAATTTCTAAGTGTTTACCAAATGATGCCAAACCCTAACATCATGTCTGGAATGTCACCTACAGAATTGATGTTTACCAGGAAGATCAAGTCCGTCTTCAGTAAGTTGTTACCTGAATGCAAAGCGAGAACATCAAAGAATAACTATACAAATACATATTTCGAACCTGGAGACAAAGTATTTTTCAGGATGTATTAATGCGGAAAGGAATTCTGGCAAGATGGTGTCATTAAAAGACGTGTCAACAGAATGGTGTACATGGTACAGGGACAAAGGTGGGAACATAGGAGACACCAGAATCAGTTGAAATGAATGTTCACTGAGTTAAAAAGTCTCTGAACAGATGTACCAATAGAAATTCTGTATGATACATTTAATGTACCTACACCATCGGAAATAGTTCAACCAAGGATCTATGGCAAAAGGAAAAGAATGCCAACAGAGTTTCTAATGATCAAACCAAAGCTGAAAAAGTATAGACTCCAGGGAAAGTGTTGTATAGGAATAAAGTGTTGTTACTGACACTGTAGTTTGAACAGAGATCACCAATGAGCAAACATGGATAATTCCATTATTAAATAAGTAGATCATGTGATCATAACGGAAACGTATCAATGGGAATTAGCATGACGTCTAAGTGATTGCTCTTCTCTATACTATCCACTATACAATTTCTCTATACTGTCCATTATATGAATTACTATTCGGCAATTACTATTTGAACAAGTATTATTAGTGTGAGTATTACAGAAGGCATTACTACTACCAGTATCTGCATTTACAAAGTCTTGTCTACAACAAGCATTTCAGAAGTGATAACAAGCATTCATTGACCTAATGGAAGTTAGAATAAGTGAGCATCTAACATCACAATCTATCTATCTATCTATCTATCTATCTATCTGTCTGTTTATATATATATATATATATATATATATATATATATATATATATCCATATTTCCAATTTCTTTTTAAAAAAGATTTTTAATGCAAAAAATAACATTTTTAGTTTTAAAAAATAACTAAAAAAATTGGAAAATAAAAATGTTATTCATTTTGCATATATGATGAAAGTAGTTTCAGTAGTTTTCACAATACTGAAACTCTAGAACTATTTTGTTTAGCAGTCTGAAAAGTCAATGGCATTTAATTCAGAGTTGTAAATATTCTTTTAAAAAATCTTTTTGCCACACACTAAATGCTCTTTCTCTTACTCAAAGACTTCCATTTCTATCAAACTAATTGATCTGTTGACACTTATTCTGATCCCAATGGAAACCAAATTGGATTTGACTTGCTACTTTTACTCTCTGACTACTGAGAAAAACTTTCTGCACAAATGAATGTTCTTGGAAAAGAATTAACCTCCTAAGCAAAGACGATAAAAACTATAAAACTGAAAAAGCAATTAACTCTTTTGTGTTTAAATTTAATATTACATCAGAGGATAAAGATCTTCTGCATTGTCTGGCCTGGACTAGACCAATTGTCTCTATAAATGTACAAAGTTAAAATAATATCTCTTATGTTATTGCAAAGTTACATTATAATTAATTTAAGCTCTTTTGTGTTTCAATTGCATATTGTTTTAATGGGTAAATGTTTTTCAATGTGTCTAGTGTGAGCCAGACGAACTGGCTTAAAAATGTATAAAGTTAAAATAATATTGCTCTTATGTCACAAAGTTAACATTATAATAATTGAATTAAAATCTTTTGTATTTCTACTTAATACTATTTTAGTGAATAAACATGGAACTGTGTCTCATATGGTCTGGTAATTTGCCTAATGTAATGATATTAAATATCATCTAGTTGTTTATATTTGGTATTTTAGCAAGAACTTTCCAGAACAATGTCTCTTATAGCATTTATTTTACTTTGTTACCACCCCATTTTAAAAAAAAAGCTATCTATATAAATAAACACAAATATTAGTCTGTTGATACATGGCTGCCAAAATGCCAACAATTGTATATACTAGAAATGTGAAACTTATCAGCATCCTGAGAATATGAATTTGGATCTTTGTCTTATTTTTATTTTAAAGGCAACATTCTTTTAAGTTAAAAGAAGTAAATAATTAAATAAAATAATTAAGTGTGTATATATATATATATATATATATATATATATATATATATAATTATTTATTTAAAAATATGATTCCAAATCGCTACATAACCTAACCAGTTCCTTCCTATTTTCTATATATTTTCACATATATATATATATATATATACTTTCAAACAGGATAGAGTACTGAACCATTACATAATATTAATCCTCCTATATGGTAATGAATGCTGGACAAACTCCTCACAGATGAAGAAGAGACTTGAATCAACAGAAATGGGGTTCTACAGAAGGATGCTGAGAATACCATGGACCAGACATGTGAGCAATGACAAAGTTTTAAAGAAAATGGAAACAAAAAGGACATTTGTACTTAACATATAAAATAGTGAGTTGAAAATTCTAGGGCACACATTAAGGAAAGAGGGCTTGAAAAATTTGATACTCACAGGACATATTGAAGGCAAGAGGGACAGAGGAAAACAACGCATAACCTACCCAACAAGCTTGATTAAATGGATGGCAAAACAGGGTTTAGGAGAGATAACAAAAAGACAAACATTTTTTAAGAGCTACAAAGGACAAGAAATTGTGGAGAGCCATGATCGTCAACATCCTGAAGAGACAAAGCACATAGAAGGTTATCACCCTAATGGAACTCTGGTGCTATTTTCTTTAGCAGTTGGATAATAAATAAGAATGGAATCTGTTCTGTAAATGTTTATTGTCTACTGACAATAAACAATACTTGAAAGAGGTAGAAACACAATAGTAAGAATTACATCAAACATAGTAATCCTCTGGTAAGAGAGAGACATAATAGTAAGAATTAGATGAAACATAGTAATCCTATAGATAAGTCAACAGATATGATTATTTCTGACAACAGCATTTATTTCAGAGTTGTATTTCTTTTTTGTTATCTTTTTCTTCAAAAGAAATATGCAGTTCCTTTTTGTTGTTGTTTCCCTATAATTCTTAATGTAACTAGAGCAACAGAACACCTCTTAGCAGATAACAGATATTATAAAGCATAACAGTTTCCCTGGAAGTTGTGGGTTCAACCCCTGGATCAAGTTGTGGAGAAATAAACATTGGCTCAGTAGATGATCTGCATTATAAAAGAAGAATTGGTGGTGGTTATAAGTTTTGAAATTCCTGAGGAAGAATACTCGATGTAACCAAAAAAAAATCTTTGTAGGTCAAATAAATGGTTTGGCTTGGAGGTCCTGGAATGTGATAGACACTTGAGGAAAGTTGAAGATTCCTCTCAAGACGTGGGTGATCATGGCTTCCCACAACTTTGTAGCTTCTGTAGCTCTTAGCAATGTTTGTATTTTTAACTATCCCTCCCAGTCCCTATTCTGCCATTCATTTACTTTCTAATTCTGTGCGCATTTGACATGGAAACAAATTTTTGCTACATTACTTAAAAATCAAAAACTAAAAGTGAATACAAAAACTAGAATAAAAATAAACAAAAAATCTAAATAAATAATAAAGAAATTAACAAACTATGAATGCATGCATAAACTCAAGTAAATGCAATAATAATAATCAACAACAAATAATAAAGTAATCAATAATAAATAATGAGTAAAAAAATTAACAAACTACAAATAATTGCATTAAGACCTACAATTATTTCTACTCAATAGCTTCTAGAATAATTTGAAACATAACCATTACTACCCACTCAATAATTGTTGGGATAATACAATAGAACTTCTACCCATAATGCATCATTGACCAGCATATATAAATAGTCAAGCCAAAACACAATACACATGGCCTGAACATTGTGTTTAAGCATGAAATAGACTGTCACTGCAGGTTGTTGACCTCAATGGCCACTTTTATATTTTTATGTATATTATATTATTTGCAATGTGATTGGTCCTGATCTGGCATCTCGTCAGCAGCCACTTTCTCACAGAAGTGCTATCCCTTCCCTCTGTCCCTTTTCATAGTAACTGCTCCACTGAGCTACTTTCTCTGGTTCCCAAATTGCATGAATTTAAACGTGCTACTAGGTTGGCATCTTAGTCCTACCCTTTTACTATCAATACTGTTAAATGTAGCTGTCTCTTCTATTCCAATAGCATTATGCCTTGCACTTCCTGTGTTTAGAACTCCCTTCCTCTTACTTGCTTCCCTGATAGCTATAATCTTTAATTATTCAAATGCAATGTCAATTGACATCTTCAGATGCCTTGATCTAATTCCCTGTCTTTCTCTTCATCCTTTCCTCTATCATACCTCTTTACTTTTGCTCCTCCTCTCTGTAACCCTCTTACGTGCTTACGTGCTAGTGGCACTCCCACCCGGCTTGGGGTGAAATGTTTAAAAAAGAAAATGAAAGAAAAAATAGTTAAATCTGTTTGCCTGGCCAGGTTCATTTGCAGGTATACTCATTAATTCATTGGCATTAAATATCATTTTAGGGGTGCTTTTATAATACTATTTTTAAATTAATTTTTTACTTTGTCTTATATAATTGGAGCTAACTTCATTGATTACATGTATTTCTTCAACTGTACCTGTTTTTTAGAGATTTGGCTGTGAGTTTACGAAAGATGCTTGGTGACTGGTTCCGTGTAGCAGCTTTATTGAAATCTGGCGGCGTTGGAGATGATGTCCAACTCGAAGAAGCATGGAATGCCATCGGTGACTACTATGCTGATCGACAAAAGTGGTGAGTTTGCAAAATATCTCACAACCGGTTAGGACAGTGGTGTAAATAATACAGCCAAAAGATTTATTTTGCCTTGCGATTATACAGATTTTCCAGTTACAGTTAAGTTCCACAAAGTCAAAGACAAGGACAGACACATTTGAAGAAGAGAAACAACACAACAAGTATATTATGTTCAAAAGGTTTAATGTACAGAAAATGGTGTATGCAAAGCAGGTAAAAAGAAGGCTTTCAAATCTAATTTATATTTGCAGACTCAACTGTTAGAAAAGTGTCCAAGTAACAAGTAGGCTTTGGGGCTTTTGTATTCTATTAGCATCAGAAAGGATGGCTCCAATAAATGTAGGGTCACTACAGCTATCAGTTGCAAAAGAAGATTTTAGGATTGAGTTTACTGCATGGCCTCCAACAAGTGATTCTGATTGGACAGCAGTTAGCCAATCAGAACTCCAGATTAGTAAGGGATTCAAGTTCAAGGTTGATCTTTGAATAGTAAAGTGTTAATTCCCTTTACTATCCTTTTCAAATTCTTATATGATACTTAGTACTAAACAATTTTACCAGGAAAAGATTTAATGATAGCTAAGTTCCACTCAGGCAGCTTCTTCCCCAGAACTGTTACATTGTGGAACAAAGGCCTAAAATGATAATGCCCCTGATTACTACAATTTTAAACCTCTTCAAGTCTAGAGCCAGTCATTATCTATTCTACATATCCTCATAATATGCACTCCTTATTACTTATTGTACACCTTTATAACAATCTCATTCAGTAACCCTCTACCTTGAGTAGCTCTTGGGCCTTGAATTAAGTGAACAATATTTGATTTGATTGATTCGTTTTCAACAGTTTATCAACCCTCTGCAGGTTATTTAAAACCAAAAAACATTTTTAGAAATATAAGAATTATTTTGAGATAATAATAATCTAGTAATACCTCTTTTGTATGCTGTGTCCCTTCAGGACATAGGCAATCATAACCTTCCCCATATCTTCTTGTCTCTTGTAACTCTTAGGAAGTTCTGTTTTTTTGTTTTTTCTCTCAAACCCCATTCTACCATCCATTTACTCAAGCTCATCAAGTATGTTACACACTGCTTTCCTCTGTACCTCTTTCCCTTTGAGTATCCTTTAAGTATCAAATTTTCCAAGCACTCCTTCCACATTACATGCCTCAGAAATTTCAATTACCTCTTCCTGATGTTATGTATAAGTTTCCTTTTCATTTCCGTTTTTTAACTAATTAATCCTTAGCTGGAGGGAGAAGTGAATTCATACCTTTCTCAAGGATATTTGCACATAAGTGAATATAACAAACCCAATTGGAATTGAAACTCAGGTTTTCAATTAACAATCCATAGCCATGATCCATAACACTACCTGCACATCCATGCTTACAGCATCTGGTATTCCCAAGTGATCACCTATTTAGGTACTGACCAGGCTTGACATTGCTTAACTTTGGTTATTGTACAGGAACTGGTGTTTCAATGTGATATGGTTGTAAGCCAATGGGTGAATAATAGTGTATAAAATAAAAAGGTAATCTGATATGAGGATATTTTTTCATTTAATCAAACATTTTCACAAGTTTTCAATTTGTTTTTGAATTATAAGACTTATAATAAATCTGTTGGGCAATGTAATAACATCTAATAAAATAGATGAAGAGAAACCTCTACTCATTCTCATGAAAAACATTTGCTGGTGAATGAAAAAATAGTTGAACTGATTTCTATCTATCTAGGGTATTATGCTTTTGCACTGGCTTGCATTGCCTCAATATATACTAAAAAATTGATTGATCTAAACTACCCTTGTTCCCTTAATCCTTCACAGCTGAGACCCATCATGTCATGCATATTGTAGAAAACCACCCTTATTCTATTTTCTATTCCATTACTTAGATGTAAGTTACACTCAAGCAGCTTTTTCCCTTGAGCTGCTGCTTTGTGGAACCAACTTTCAAGGGGATGCTTCCCTGATCACTATAATCTTAATCTGTTCAAGTACAGAGTTAACAGTTTATCTTCCTCATATATACCTATAAACTGTGCCTTTTACTTTTAACCCTCTACCTTGAGGAACTCTTGGGCTTTGTACAGGGTGAACATCATTGTAAAAAAAAGGTTGAAGTTGATAACTTTCAGATTAAAACTCATTAAATGCATTTTGAGCTATTATGCTTTTTATGAATTTTGGGTATGTCTACTGTTGCAAATGGCCGACAACAATTGTACTTGTTTTGTACTGTAGTTGTACTTCATTTATAACCAATCATACTTATGATTGATGTTTTATCATGGGACATATTGAAGGTGAGAGGAACAAAGGACAGCAGCCAATAACTTACCCAATGAGCTTGTGTAAATGGTTGGCAAAACAGGGATTGGAAGGAATAGCAAAAAAAAAAAAGAAAAACTTACAAAGCGATACAAACGACAGGAAGTTGTGGAGAGCCATGATTGCCACCGCCCTGAAGGTACATGGCACATAAAAGAAGAAACAAATTCTAAAATGCCACTATTTTAAACTAAATCAATGATTTTAGTGTACAAAAATATGGTTCATTTGCTCGATTCATGTGAGAATTGGTGAGAGTTAGGGAGATTGCATTCCTTGAGAAGAAAAAGTGCAACATCATCAATCTTTATGTCAAAAGAAGTTATTTTTTGAAGATTATCAGCATTCAAGTCAAATTTTTTAGTTTGAAATATGAGGTGGGGGTGAATTTTTAAACAACAAAACCTTTATTTTAGTTTGAAACTGTGAGATGGTACAAGTTTTTAAGACTAAAACCCATGACTTAGCATGAAATTATTAGTTTTTTATTTCACCAAAAACCTTGATTTGCTTAAAAAAAAAAAAAACTGAAGCAGATTAAAGTTTTAAATACCAAAACCTTATATTTAGATTAGCAGCATTTTTTATATTTTAACTTTCAAAATTCATTTACACTACAGTTCAAAAGTTTGAGTCCACCCCTCTTAATTTTTAAGTTGGTTCAAAAAGTAGTTGTTTGTACTTCAAAAAGAGAAAATTATTATACATGGTTAAAAAAAAAAGTGAAACATGATTTTTTATTAGAAATTTTATTCTGACAAAAAGAGAAAAAGCATTTTATGATTAAATTTTGCTCTTGTTGAAATATCCTCCTTTAGCCTTGATTACTGCATCACAAATTTTTGGCATTTGTTGCAAAAGTTTCTCAAAGAATAAGTTTGATAATTGATGCCATTCTCTTTACAATGACTCTAAGAGCTCTTTTTTATTTTTTTCACTTTTCTATCAAGTTCATCCCAGGCTAATTCTAGGCATGGCTTCAAACTTTTGCTCTATAATGTATATCGATCAATTTTAAAATATTTAATGAACCAGCACAAGGTAGCATAAATTAGTCAAGCCATATCTATCTGTCTGATCATCCTCAAATGCATACTTCTGACCAACCATTTATGTCATCTATAGCTCTATCCAGTTCTTCCTTTCTGATTCTATTGCCATCCATGAATTCATTAATGAGGATTCTTGCAGGTCTACCATTTCTTCCCCATAATTTGGATCGCATCAAATAAGCTGATGCTCAACATTTTGTTTTCTGGCCAAACATGTGATGACATGATTGCAAGCATTTATGCAAATATAACTATGTGAGTTATATGTACAGTGCATTGTTTGCAGACACTGCATCGCTCAGAGATGAGAAGCATACGTCTGAACTTAAAAATACACCAAAATGCAGTTGCAGACTTAGTTGTATTCAAAAACAATTGTAGCTATAAATCATCCATGTTACAGTGAATCACAATGAATCTCTTTCTATCTCTTGCACACTGAAACACATACATGCATATCCACACACACACACACGTGCATGTTAGTAGGATATAGAATCTTAACAAAAGTGGAGAAATCAGACAAAGTGGAAAACCTTTTTATTGACAACTGACCTGAAGATATCCACCTAACTATGTAACAAAGCTGAAACGCATTAAAATTAAAAAAGTTTTTAATTTTGTCAGATTTACACACACATGCACACACTTACATATATTCAAGTTTTGTTAAATTCAACCAGCAAAGTATCTATGTTTAATTTTTTATTGTATTTTTCCAATTTTCAAATAAGATGTTTTCAGGATCAAAATTGTAGATAAACTATCCAAAGTTCATGGTTTGTTGTTTTGTTAAGGTACTGTCTCAGTCAATGTGAAGAATTGTATGTTGTCAGTGTGGTAAACAGAATTCTGTTGTCTACATACTGGAATTTCTTATAGTGCTGGAATTCAAATTAGTTCAAATCAATGTCATCCATGACTGTTAAATGGCGCTACACAGTACATGGCTTTGGACTAATTACAATTCCACCACTGTAATAAATGCCTGGATATAGCCAACAAAATCTTGTCTATCAAGATGACAACACCCAATTTTTGATATTATCTGAGATAGTTGAAAGTATTTGAACAAAATAGAAGAAAACATAAACTTTGGAAAGGTTATCCACAATTTTGATCCTGATATACAACATCTTATTTAAAAATTGGACAAATTCTATAAAAAAATCAAAGAACAAGACTTTGTTGGTTGAATTTAACAAAAATTGTTTGGATGGATACACACACGATAGGCCAAAAGTTTGGGGCCATCCTCTGGATTTCAAAGAATCGCTTAAAAATTGAAGGTTGCATGCCTTTTTTAAATTTAATTTGAAGAGATTTTTCACATATTCATTAATAATAATAATAATAATAAAGTTAACCAATTACTGCAGAAAGCTTCCATAAAATTTTAGCTCTTTTTACCTAATCTAACTTGCAGGCTAATGGTAATCTTAGGGCTAGCAGATTTAAAATTTTAGGTAGCCCTCTCATTAAAAAAATGAACACCATAAATAATTTCAGCACCCTAGCTTAGTAGAAGTTTATTAAACCAAAAAAGGTATGAAACTTACTAATTATTAACTCTAGAGGATGGCCCCAAACTTTTGGCCCATAGT